TCCGGCCGCCCGCCAGCCGCAGCGCTCTGGGAGCTGGGAGAGGAACTGGGAAGAGTGAGCTGGTGTCATCCCAGAATCCTGAAAAGTGGGTGTAGGGATGTCCCTCACCCTCCCACACTCACCCGGTGTCACTGAGGTGTTCCCTGCCGGAGTGCTGGGAGGTTCCGTCGTTTCTGTGGGGACTGTGGGGAGAAAGGACACAGGAATGAGGAGCTGAGCCCCCCAGGACTCCCAGTTTGGAAAGGTGCATCCCAAACCCACCAAAATGGGGCCAAGAGGATTCTCCCAGCTGCGAGTGGCACAGCAGGAATCCCCCCGGGCTCTGGCAAAGTCACAGAAGTGTTGCATCCCAAAAATCAATCCCTGTGTGCCCCAGGATGTTTCTCAGGGCTAAATCCTGGTGTGGGATCTGCTGGGAGAATTTGACCTTAAATATGGGAATACTGGGACACGACTCAGTGGTGGAAGAACTGAAATTTGGGTTGTCATCCTGCATCGGTGTTGTTCCCGCCTTCTGGTTCATCCCTGCAGACACAGAGGGGCTGGACCTGTCTGTACCCACCTGCCTACACCCATTCCAGAGCTACAGGTGAGTGGATGATCCAGTTATCCCTAAAAATGCCCTATTTGGCTCCTCCGGGGGGAAGGATTCAGCCCCAGAAGTGAGGCATCCACTTGGGTGGGGTGGGATCTACTGGGGCTGCTTGGGTGGGAATCCTGGGAAGAGCCACCAGAGCTGGTGCAGTGTGGATTGGGGTTACAATGTTCAAGGAAAAGGCCAGGGATGAGGGGAGAAGGTGGGAATGAGCTGCCCCAGGTGGGGATGGGGGTGTGACGAGGGCGGAAATGGGGTGATGGGGTGATGGGGCCATTTCCTGATCAATGGGAGGCCTCGAAGCAGCTCCTGGCAGACATTTTGGCAACCGAACAATCCCAAATCCTGCCAGGGTGGGGAGGACAGGTGGCATCACATCCCAAAACCATCCAGGGGGTACATGTGAGACAGGATGGGCTTCAGGCCCTGAGTGTCCTCCTGTTCCTGAAGGGATTGTAGGTGAGATGGCTCTGAGAGCACCTTTAGGGGCTTAGGCTCCTCTTCTAGGGGTTCCCAGGGTGCTTTTTGGGGGATCCAAGGGGACCTTAACATTTAGGAGAATCCCCAAGCCTTAGGACATCCTTTCAGGGCATCCCTTTCCCTCTGAGTGCGTTGAGGGGCAGCATCCTCCACCACTGACACCCCTGTTGGGGACCCCCCAGGACCCCCAGTGCTCCCCATCCCAGGGAGGTGGCAGGTCCCCGACCCCCAAATCAGTGGCTCCACCACCCCAAGGTCCCAAGAGAGCGACGGCAAGGGCCAGGATGGGGACAGTGACGTACCTGGTGCAGGTG